ATCTTCTTTGGAGTCACAATGAGCTGCTTCTTCAACTGGGCAGCACCGATCTTCTCCCTCAACTCATCAATCTTAGTGAAACCAACATCAGAGATGTATCCGAGATCAGGACGCTTCTGGAAGATTGAGATGACAGAGTCTTCATCAATAACCTCAGATCTGGCGGCATCGACGAGAACGCCATTCTCAGGCATCAACGACATAAGATCCTCGTTGATGGAGTTGATTGTCTGAGGAGTAGCAGGGACATGCAAGGACACGATGTCACACTTGAAGAGCTCCTTCAAGTCGTGGAGAGGCTCGGCACCACACTCCTTAATCTGCTCATCAGACAGGAAGGGATCGTAAGAATAGCACTTCATAGCGAAACCTTTAGACACCTCAATCATCGCCCTCGACACGTTACCACAGCCGTAGAGGCCGAGAGTAGAGCCACGGATCTCCCTACCAGAAGTAGCATCGAAGTGGTTCCTCTTCATGGCGATCAAAAGAGCGAACACCATCTCGGCAACAGCATTAGCATTCTGACCGGGAGTGTTCTCCACAACAACCTGATGCTTGGAAGCAGCATCGAGATCGATGGTATCAACACCAGCACCAGCGCGAACAACAATCTTGAGATTCTTAGCGCGGTTGAAGAACTCCTCATCGAGCTTATCGCTCCTAACAATGCAGGCCTCAGCAGACTCGGCAGCAGAGTACAGCTCCTCCTGAGTCTTGTAACCCTCGATCTTGCCAAAGGTTAGACCATTATCTTTGCATATCTTCTCAATACCGTCGACGGCGATCTTATTGAAGGGCTTGAAAGTAGCTAGAAGAACGGAAGGCATACACAAATTCGTATAAAGTTCACAAAACTATAGAAACCTCAAGTAAGCCTCATAAGAACCACTTTCTCACTCGAATTTAACTAGATTCAATCACATTAATTGCCGCCTAGCGTCATTAGTGGTTGTCTAGCACTCACAGCTTATCACAACGGAAGACAAGATTCTCTCTAGATTTTCATGTGTCATCACTCAGCTGTGAATGAAATTATTCGCATTGACAATCTCAACGAATAGTATCGTAATTGGCTCTTTACCGTAAAAACCATGATGAACAGACATTTGAATCACATCTGCAGTGCTCCCCAATTGAGAATCTGAATGCTCGCTCTAATGCATGTTTGAACTTACATAGGGTGAATCATATCGATTAACTCTGCGACCCTGCTACAATGATATCCAATGACTGATCCTTCAACAGTTTTAACTGCGGTGATTCGCAAACTTATCAGGAACAGTTTCCCGTTAAAGTTTACCCTGAGACTTTATCTACTCGACTACACCGTGTAATTCTGACAACTCGAATTGATCCCTTGCAAATAATGAGATATTCCTATGAATGCCACATCCGCTCACCAACTCGTATAATCTTCGAATACAAAATATCCAATTCGCTGAGCCTTCCAATACAACCACCGATCCCGTCCACAAACTGTTACACGCAAATCCACGACTAATGATGAAGCAGAGATATAAAGCATTAGAGTATAGGAACGAAGTATATAAGTTACATAAAAGCAAAACAATGCACCGGAAAGAAACCTAACAGTGACTAGTGAGTTGGATCAGCTTAGAAAGCCTTGCCATTGACCTGATGAATGGTAGAGCCGTCCTTGAAGTAGGCAGAAATCTGCTTGATAGCAGTGAGACCTGCGTTGACATTAGACTCGAGAGTCTGAGCACCCATCTTCTTTGGAGTCACAATGAGCTGCTTCTTCAACTGGGCAGCACCGATCTTCTCCCTCAACTCATCAATCTTAGTGAAACCAACATCAGAGATGTATCCGAGATCAGGACGCTTCTGGAAGATCGAGATGACAGAGTCTTCATCAATAACCTCAGATCTGGCGGCATCGACGAGAACGCCATTCTCAGGCATCAACGACATAAGATCCTCGTTGATGGAGTTGATCGTCTGAGGAGTAGCAGGGACATGCAAGGACACGATGTCACACTTGAAGAGCTCCTTCAAGTCGTGGAGAGGCTCGGCACCACACTCCTTAATCTGCTCATCAGACAGGAAGGGATCGTAAGAATAGCACTTCATAGCGAAACCTTTAGACACCTCAATCATCGCCCTCGACACGTTACCACAGCCGTAGAGGCCGAGAGTAGAGCCACGGATCTCCCTACCAGAGTAGCATCGAAGTGGTTCCTCTTCATGGCGATCA